ACAATGTCCTCATAAACTGCAGGCCTTTGCTTTGCATTCTGTTGTTGCTTTTAGTGAGTCAGCTTACGGCCCTGTCTCACTCGACAGCCCTCGAGGTGAGGAAATGCAGTACAGGTCCAGCAGCCAAACTGGGACGAGTCAACTGTCTCGAGCCTTTGGCGCGAACACCACAATTGACAATGACAGAACACCTTTCATTGCAGGTGTATTTCATTGCAGAAAGTATCTCTGGTAGCCCAGGCAACAAAGGAAGGGCAAGGTCAAGGAGATGGTGTTGACCTCTTGAGTGGCAAAATTCAGGTTTCAAAGATGATCATCATCAAGCTCTCTCTGTTTCCTATACTCCCCCCGATCTCTCTCCTTCCTCCGTGCCTTTCCTCTAGGTTTGCTTGCTCTAAGTTTTCCATGTGGTGGCAAATATGGTGATCAGCACATAGCAGTTCCAAATATGAGAGATTTACTCTCTCATTCCAACAGCCTCATTAAACACCCAGATCAACCCTCCTGCCTGGTCTTCTTCATGTTCACTGTTCTGGTAGAGGAGCCAGGACCATCTGATCGATGCCTATCCCAGATTACATACTGTGGGTGACAGGCCATTTCCAAAAAGACAGCTGAAAGAAAGACAAATGATAGACACCCACTCCATGGCTTTAACCAACAAAGATGAAAAAAGAAGTACCGTCAGCACAAGTATGAATAAAGCGTTGGGATGATTGGGCATGATGTTTATTTATGATAAAACCAGGATGGTGGCCGGACATGGTGGCTCACGCCTGTAATCACAGTGCTTTTTGGGAGGCCAAGGCAGGTGGATCACCTGAGGTCAGGAGATAGAGACCAACAAGGAGAAACTTCATCTCTTAAAAATACAAAAGTTAGCTGGGCATGGTAGCACATACCTGTAATCCCAGCTACTCAGGAGGCTGAGGCAGGAGAATCCTTTGAACTCAGGAGATGGAGGTTGCAGTGAGCTGAGATCGTGCCATTGCACTCCAGCCTGGGCAACAAGAGCAAAATTCCATGAAACAAACAAACAACAAAAAAAAAAAAAAACACAGCATGTCCTAAGACCCAAAAATGGGACTACAGGACATGATCAACTCCCACGGGACATGGCAGCAGAGACCTAGAAAGTGGAAATGAAAAATGTAGCTGCTGTGTTCAGGAATCTCAGGAGTGAAGATTTCAGAAAGAGAAAGGCTCTTCAGAGTATATGAGAAATGAACACAGGTCTGGTGCCGGAAGATAAAACAAAATGCAAAATGCATGGATAAAGATGATAATCTAGAGAGACCCACATTCCACTTATCAGCATATGGGGCCAAGAGCATTTAAGAGGCATCCCAAACTCCCCAGTAGACCAATAGTATTAGTAGTTATTAACCTCAGACACAGGGTGTCGTCGACCTGACTAGACACATCTGTCCTTGCGAACATACATACTCACAGGTGAAATGGGGAGATAACAAGGCAAACACCTTTAGAACTATTGTAAACTGGGAGCTGGATGGAAGGAGAGCAGCAGACAGATGGTCTGTACATGCATCTTGGAAGAAAACCTGAATGTAATTGAGTGCTACAGACAGTGTTGTAACGCTTCTCAAACCCAGACATCACTCAGTGAGGGAGAATGAGAATTGAGTGTAAGCTGACACCTAATAAAACCCAAATATTTAAAAAAAAAGGTAAATGAGAAAAGTCTCATAAATTTCCTATAATGAAAATTAGTGCAATGTAGGAGATTTCAGCTATTGAAGAAGAATGATAGACTATGCAGAATGTTTCTTATTATTCCTCTCTGTAATTGAGTATTATATTAGAATATTTAGACTGTTTCAAATTTTTGATTATTTCAAAGAGCACTGAAGTGAACATGTGTACATGTATCTATATGTGCATGTGTGAGTATGTTTACGTCTAACAGTATAGGTATTGTGTGTATACACAGAGTCAGACAGCTCCGGAGATCATGGATTTTGGCATTTTTGACAGAAACTGCAAAATTGCCTTTCAGATGACCAATTTATACAGCAACCCCAAGCCCATGAAAATGGATTATTTTTGTCATAGTATTGTGAATGCTGAATGTATCATATGATTCGCATCTTTGGCATTATTTCCAGTGATGGAGAGTATTTCATTAATTTTTAAACGCACATCAATTCCACCTTCAGGAGGCGTATGATGATTTTTAACCAGGTAGGAGGGGCTAGTTGTATAGGACAACTGGAAAGAGCTGGTGGAGAGGCAGCACAGCCTCACAGTTAGACATGGAGGCTGTGGGTTCAGATTGTCTGGGTGGAACTCTAAGTCCCCCACACATCCCCTTGTGAACTCAATTCCTTGCATAGATTATTTAAATATGTCTTCCTTTCCTGTAAAATAAGGTTATTTCAGGATTAAATGAGATAATACACTGGGCATGGTAGCTCACACCTGTAATATCCCAGCACTTTGGGAGGCCAAGACAGGAGGATAACTTGAGGCCAGGAGTTCGAGACTAGCCTGGCCAACACAGTAAAACCCCATCTCTACTAAAAATACAAAAATTAGCCAGGCAGGGTGACACATGCCTGTAATTCCAGATACTTGGAAGGCTGAAGCATGAGAATCACTTGAACCTGGGAGGCAGAGGTTGCAGGTAGCCAAGATGGCACCACTGCACTCCAGTCTGGGTGAGACTGTGTCTCAAAAATTATGATAAATAAAACAATTCATACGATGGATTTGCACAACATGTACCACATAGTAAATGTTCAATAAATAATTTTTACTAACATTTATTATTACACTAAATTTAGCTCTGAGCATCCTGGCAGCCAAAGCAAAGAGAGTTCATTGTTCAATAGAAAGAATAAGATAGGCCAGGCTGGGTGGCTCACGCCTGTAATCCCAGTACTTTGGGAGGCTGAGGTGGGCAGATCATGAGGTCAGGAGATTGAGACCATCCTGGCCAACATGGTGAAACACTGTCTCTACTAAAAATGCAAAAATTAGCTGGGCGTAGTGGCATGCGCCTATATGTCCAGCTTCTCGGGAGGCTGAGGCAGGAGAATGGCTTGAACCCGGGAGGTGGGGATTGCAGTAAGCAGAGATTGTGCCACTGCACTCCAGCCTGGCAACAAAGCAAGACTCCATCTCAAAACACAAAAAGAATAAGATAATAACCACAGATACTTATATAGCATTTGCTATATCAGCGCCTGTTCTAAGTACCTTATATATGTTAAAACATTTTGATGAGAAACGAAGCTTCTTTGGTCACTTATTATTGAATTCTGGAAAGAATTTATCAACAATTGGTTTTATTATGCAGAAACTTATCATTCCTATTTTTCAATGAGGAGACTTGGATTCAAAGAAGTTAAGTATCTAAGATCTCACCTCCAGTAAATGGTCAAACAGATTCAAACCTAGGCCTTTTGACCCCGTAGTCTTCCTTCTACATCAGAAGCCTTTCCAGAAGGCTCTGTGTGACTCTGACTACTGCTTTGAGAAAACTGACATTCAATATCTTAAGGCTTGATTTAGGACTCCTGCAATGTACATGCATATATGTGTTTATCTGTAAGAGTTTATAGTTGAAGGCTTTTTTTTTTGAGATGGAGTTTCGCTCTTGTTACCCAGGCTGGAGTGCAGTGGCACGATCTCGACTCACCGCAACCTCCACCTCCTGTGTTCAGGCAATTCTCCTGCCTCAGCCTCCTGAGTAGCTGGGATTACAGGCATGCGCCACCGTGCCCAGCTAATTTTTTGTATTTTTAGTAGAAATGGGGTTTCACCATGTTGACCAGGATGGTCTCGATCTCTTGACCTCATGATCCACCCGCCTTGGCCTCCCAAAGTGCTGGGATTACAGGTGTGAGCCACCACGCCTGGCCCTAGTTGAAGACTTTTTTCTAACTAAGAGTGTAAATGCAGTAGCAGGGTACACAATAGATTTCTGCTGGGATGATCAAACTTTGAATTCATGGAATGAAACTGATTGAGGAATGATTTGCTGGATCTAGTCTGCAGTGGCTGGAGGTGTGTCAACCCCTGAGCCAGCGGTGTCCAGCCCTGGAGGTTCTGAGAGAATGGTGCAGGTCACCAGCAAGGCCAGCAGGGACACTAAGGGGGTTTTACAGGCCAAACCTTAATTGAAATGGTTCTTAGTGGTTCATACACTCTAGTAACAAGTGTTCGAAAGCACTAGTTGCAATTTTGTGATTTTTTATATGCAAATGTGCATGGGCGTATCCATTTGTTCACATGTGTGATGTGCTAGAATATGTTTTCATTACTGGAGCTAAAATATTTCAATACTAGAAATACTTAAAACTGGTTTGGTCCATTCAAAATATTCTGCTTAAAGTTCTTCTGCACGTTATCAAGCAGAAGATAGCTGCCTGAGAGACAGTTGTGTTACCAGTCCTTACAAGGAACTGATATCTTACTTTTTCAATCCTGTCTCAAATAGATAATATAATATGAATTGGTTTCCATAGGTTTTATCCCTTCTGCAGATTGGCATTGTTCATTTTAGTGAGGCTTAAACGGCTGGTATCACCTTAAAGTTGTATATTTCTGAAACCTCAGATGGGTAGATGCCCAGATAGATAAAATGCAAATCAAGTCATCAAGTTGTCATGATGAAGAAGCAGTCTGCATAATTGTAATATAAATGTCTGATATTTTTCACCTTTACAAAATGAGGGAAGTCAAGGTAATTTTGCTTGGTAACTGAAGTACATGGAATCTATTTAGAAATGTGGGGAAAAGCACAATGTTTAGTGCGTGCCACCAGTTATGTAAAGCTGTCACAAACAAATCAATCTCTGTCTGCCCTAGATTCAACTCATTTAAAATGAGAGAATGAACTTGATAACCTTTGGCTTCGTAGAGATTCAGCATCCTGCAATAACCTCTCATGTCTTTTAACGTATGCAATGCAAAGAACAAACGAAACACGGTGGAACTTTTTCTAATTCCGTCTCTTCTCTCTTTTTTTCCCCCAGACTATGTCAGAGGGTCACAATGACCTTGCACAATAACGGTTCCACCTCGCCTTTCTTTCCAAACATCAGCTCTTCCTGGATACACAGCCCCTCTGACACAGGGGTCACCCACTTCGGCAGCTACAATGTTTCCCGAGCAGCTGGGAATTTCTCCTCTGCAGACGATACCACCGATGACCCTCTGGGAGGTCACACAGTCTGGCAGGTGGTCTTCATTGCTTTCTTAACGGGCATCCTGGCCTTGGTGACCATCATCGGCAACATCCTGGTCATTGTGTCATTTAAGGTTAACAAGCAGCTGAAGACTGTCAACAACTACTTCCTCTTAAGCCTGGCCTGTGCCGATCTGATTATTGGAGTCATTTCCATGAATCTGTTTACGACCTACATCATCATGAATCGCTGGGCTTTAGGGAACTTGGCCTGTGACCTCTGGCTTGCCATTGACTACGTGGCCAGCAATGCCTCTGTCATGAATCTCCTGGTCATTAGCTTTGACAGATACTTTTCCATCACGAGGCCGCTCACGTACCGAGCCAAACGAACAACAAAGAGAGCTGGTGTGATGATCGGTCTGGCTTGGGTCATCTCCTTTGTCCTTTGGGCTCCTGCCATCTTGTTCTGGCAATACTTTGTTGGAAAGAGGACTGTGCCACCAGGAGAGTGTTTCATTCAGTTCCTCAGTGAGCCCACCATTACTTTTGGCACAGCCATTGCTGCTTTTTATATGCCTGTCACCATTATGACTATTTTATACTGGAGAATCTATAAGGAAACTGAAAAGCGTACCAAAGAGCTTGCTGGGCTGCAAGCATCTGGGACAGAGGCAGAGACAGAAAACTTTGTCCACCCCACGGGCAGTTCTCGAAGCTGCAGCAGTTATGAGCTTCAACAGCAAAGCATGAAACGCTCCCACAGGAGGAAGTATGGCCGCTGCCACTTCTGGTTCACAACCAAGAGCTGGAAACCCAGCTCCGAGCAGATGGACCAAGACCACAGCAGCAGCGACAGCTGGAACAACAACGATGCTGCTGCCTCCCTGGAGAACTCCGCCTCCTCTGACGAGGAGGACATTGGCTCTGAGACAAGAGCCATCTACTCCATCGTGCTCAAGCTTCCAGGTCACAGCACCATCCTCAACTCCACCAAGTTACCCTCAACGGACAACCTGCAGGTGCCTGAGGAGGAGCTGGGGATGGTGGACTTGGAGAGGAAAGCCGACAAGCTACAGACCCGGAAGAGCGTGGACGATGGAGGCAGTTTTCCAAAAAGCTTTTCTAAGCTTCCCATTCAGTTAGAGTCAGCCGTGGACGCAGCCAAGACTTCCGACGTCAACTCGTCGGTGGGTAAGACCACGGCCACTCTACCTCTGTCCTTCAAAGAAGCCACTCTGGCCAAGAGGTTTGCTCTGAAGACCAGAAGTCAGATCACTAAGCGGAAAAGGATGTCCCTCGTCAAGGAGAAGAAAGCAGCCCAGACCCTCAGCGCGATCTTGCTTGCCTTCATCATCACGTGGACCCCATACAACATCATGGTTCTGGTGAACACCTTTTGTGACAGCTGCATACCCAAAACCTTTTGGAATCTGGGCTACTGGCTGTGCTACATCAACAGCACCGTGAACCCCGTGTGCTATGCCCTGTGCAACAAAACATTCCGAACCACTTTCAAGATGCTGCTGCTATGCCAGTGTGACAAAAAAAAGAGGCGCAAACAGCAGTACCAGCAGAGACAGTCAGTCATCTTCCACAAGCGCGCGCCTGAGCAGGCCTTGTAGAGTGAGGTTTTATCAATAGCGGTGACAAAACGCACACATCAACCCACAGACCTTAGGAGGAGAAAGGTGAGGGTGGGGATGATTTCTGGTGATGATAAAAATGGTTTTATCACCCAGATGTGAAAGAAGCTGCCTGATTACTGATCCATTGAGTAAACCCATTTTAATAGGAAATGTCAGTACCAATTCAGCAAAAAACAAAAACACTACTGAACATAAAGAAATTTATTCTGAAATAGACTTCACATTTTTTTTCTTAAAGAGGAGAAGAAATATTGCTTCACAGCAATATATACCCACATCGATTTGCCTGGGTCTTTTAATTCCCATTAGCTTTGGAATCTCAGATGAGCATAGGAGGCCCAGTTCCCACATTCTTCCCAAGGATCCCGAAAGTGGGCATCCAGACCCCACGTGGAACACTGCAGGCTAACGAATCTGTGGTTCCAAAATTATTTCATATGTTGCAAAGCTGAATCTTCTTGTCCCAATAGAGCTTTCTGTCTTTTCTTTGGTGTGTCGTTAAACTCTATTTGTGGACTTGATTCTTGATTCTTGCAGAGTCCTGTTTTGTGCAGTTCAAGTTTCGTACAAATAAAAATACTTAAGTATATATATATATACATATATATATGTGTGAGTTCTGCACGCACACACATAGTGTATATAACATAATGGGAAACACTGAACTGGCAAATTCTTCCTGCAATGTACACTTTCAGTACTTTGGTAACTGAGGTTCTCTAGGATCCTAATGCAGCATAAATGTGAAATCAGCCCAGTTTAACGTTTCTGAAACTGGGGCTGTTTCCCACAGAGAGCGGCCAGGCCTTCCCCGCAGGTCTGTGCAGAGTGGACAGGCTCGTGAGTCAGCTGAGCACGGTGGCTTCACCGGGCTTGGTGTTAAGCAATCTCCTTCGTTGATGCCTCAACAGAGCTAAATCGGGGCCCCTCTGAGCTCAAAGAATGAACCACATCCACACGTTTGAATTTAATCATCTAAATCTTAATGTTTCAAAACAAAATTTCTGCTATCTAAACTGCTTGAAACTCAATAATAGTGTCACGTTTGAATGTCACACACAGCAATATATATATAGGCCATATGTGTGTATATATATATATATATATATATATATATATATATATATATATGGCAAAGCAAAAAAACAGAAACCGTGGGAAGAGAGGATGAGGGAGAACACTGTGCTTGATTCTTGCTGAATGGCACCTTTTGAAGAAAATAGGGCTTGCACCTTTGTTGCTCAGCTGTGGCCAGTGCTTTCTGGTGTTCATCGTGTAAACTTCACCCAGGAATAGGTGAGGTTTACGAAGTTACATGTCCTCTGAAGAGAGAATTGCATTCTGAAAAGTAATGCTTCAAATTGATTTTCTTACCTTTTGGTTTAAAAAAAAAAAAAAAAAAAAATTTGCATTCTCCTTTGAATTGGCCAAAATGTTAACTGTTTTATCTGGGGAGGGGATGGGGTGCTGCCGTCATTGTCCTTGTCCTCGTTGTTGCTGCTGTAGTTGTTGGGGTTTCTTTTCCTTTTGCTGGGGCTGTTTGGGAGGGGGAGGGGAGGGAGGTGGGAGGGCTGTGGAGATATTCCCTTTGTACAGGGCATTCATGTTGTGAACCCAGAGCTGGGTAGAAGCTGCTTTTGTATTCAGTGTGAGGTGGTGTTTACAGGCGACTTTGACCACAGTGGACGTGTACTCAGTGGTGTCGGTGTATCTGAACTATTTAATTTCGTGTTATGTTTATATGCAGAAATATTTATGGATACTACACCAAGTGTTTATTTAATGTTGATAAATATTACTCTTCAGTCTTCAGTCCTGGTGTCCTTTGAAAGTGATTCTTTAGAGTCCACTTGAGCAATGAATAGGATATATTGAGTTTTCCTGTAGCTAAGAAGAAGAAACATGTCATCCTGTTGGCATCGCCAAGTACCTAACCATTTCTAGGTAATAAAAAGTCAACTGTCACTTCAACGTAAATGTTTAAAATCACTCTTTAGTTAAATCCGATGGGAACTGAACAAAGCAACCCTCACTATGGTGTCTGAAATTATTTTACACAGGGGAAAAAAAAAATCAGCCTAATTGTAAGAATGATTTTTTGGGGCCCATATTCAACCAAAGAACAAGAAAAAAAAGACAGTTTTCTAACATGTACAGCAAATTACAGAATGTGTTATTATCCACCTGTGAAACGTCTAGTAAGCAATTGCATCTATATTTTATTACTCAAGTTGGCCTGGCGCTCATAAATATGTGAATGCGTATTCAAGCGTCCCAGCACTCAGCACTTCCCATTCTTTTGGAAACTCCTATCTCACCTCCCTCCCAAAAGGACTGTTGCTTTTATTTAAAAAAAAAAAAAAAAAAGAATTAGATTTGAGAATTAAACCCTGAAATTTATCAGAACTTTGAGAGTCAATTACTATCTCCTTAAACATGATTATTTCCTTATCCTTGTCCTTTTGTGATGCTAATAATGCAGAAAAGGAACAAATCCAAGGCTCTAGGTCTCATTTTTTGTTTTGCTGGTTTTATTATAGAATTGTTCTTAAGCCTCTTATGGATGAAAGCTGCATTTAAATACTGTTTACTGACTTTATAGAAAGGTATGTCCATTCTTGGGTCATTTTCAGAGAAAGAAAACAAGTAAAATAGATTCTTTTGAATATGAAGAATTTACAAGTATAATTGAAGCTGTAGTGAGTGTTTATAATTGGACCTCAGTTACACATGCATTTCTCAAAAGCTTTGTCATTAGAGGAGGTATTCAGTATTTACATATTATCAAGATGTCTTCATCCCAAACCGGGAACCAAATTATTTCATGCCATATGCATGAAGCTTGCAGACATTTCAAGATTAGCCACTTTAATTGAAAAAAGAAAATGATCAAACCTAAAATAAACTACACATGGAGAATATCTTTCTCTCTCTCTGCCTCTCTCTCTTTCTCCCTCTCCTTCCTTCTCTCTCTCTCTCTCTCTCTCACACAAGCACTCACACACATTCTCCCTTCTCCAGGCATTGCCAGATGGTTAAGAGAAGTGAGCTCTCTCTGGCCCCCTGGTTCCCTCGGCTCTGCTCTCCTTTCCCATCATCTCCCTGTGGCCTCTATGCTAGTTCTATTCTTCTAATCCCCCTTTGCCTCTTAAACCCAGCCTTGACTCTCTACATGTTTTTCATTTATCTCTACCCTATCGTGTGCAATCGTTGTCAATTCTGACGGAATGAAAACAAAAACGAAGAGCCTAAGTGTTAGAGTCTGCAGTGGCTGAAGATCTAGAAGGCGTATCAGCTTTCTCTGTCAGGCTTCCCGTGTTGCCCATGGCCAGAGCTCATCGCTCTGCAGAGCACGGGGAGCCCCCTTCCGTATCGAGAGAGAAGCTGGGGTGCAGAGCCCTGCTGCTGCAAAGTTGGCCGTTTCAGCCCCGACTCCGGGAGCAAAGAAGGATGCCAAGGCTCTGCCACAGCAGAGAAGCCTAATACGAGTGACACAGAGAAAGATTCCAGGGATCAGTCAGGGTGTCCTGTACTTACCTGAGTAGAGATGATTCAAAGAAGGGGACCTATTCCAGGAAACTGCCCAATCTCCCCCGGGAGCGTCAGAGGACAGGCGAAGGTAGTGCAGTAAGGTCAAAGCAGCATTGAATTTAGGATGAGGAGCGCTGAGTTCCTGGCCCAGTTTAGTATGTCCTTAGGCGTACTTGTCACTTACCCTAAATTTCTGGGTTTTCTCCTCATCGCTCAAACTAAGCAACAACACCAGAGCTTCTCTAATCTGCCTTCTGATGGCAAATCAGTCCAAACTGAGGTCAGTAACTACCGTGATGAAAGTAAAATGGTGTATTGGATGAATGCTTGAAATATTCAGATTTTATATTCTTTGAGGTTATTTACTTACTGTAGTTCAACACCACAAAATCTAAGGAAGCCTTGAAATTTTCTGGTAAACCCAGAGTTGCATGGTGTCAAATACTGCTCCAACCCAGTGCCTGAGGTCTGGCAACCTTACAAAATATAGTTTCTGGGTAGCAGGTGTTTGCTTTGGTTTTACAATAGCATTTATCATAATAGGACTGAAACTGCATAGAATACAACACTCCGAAGTTATTTTTTAACCTAAACGACCCTACTTCTAGCACATCCTCTGAAAGAATATTTTGCTCCCATGCTATGTGTAACGAAGTTACTTCAGCAGTGTCAACTCCAGCCCTTAATAGGTTCAAGGACAATTTTACTACTTTTTTTTTAATTGCATTTTAGGTTTTGGGGTACATGTGCAGAACATGCAAGATAGTTGCATAGGTACACACGTGGCAGTGTGTTTTGCTGCCTTCCTCCCCTTCACCCACATTTGGCATTTCTCCCCAGGCTATCCCTCCCCAGCTCCTGCCCCGCTGTCCCTCCCCTATTCCCCCCAATAGACCCCAGTGTTTAGTACTCCCTTCCCTGTGTCCATGTGTTCTCATTGTTCATCACCCGCCTATGAGTGAGAATATGTGGTATTTCATTTTCTGTTCTTGTGTCAGTTTGCTGAGCTTTTCTACAGACTTCAGTTACACTCTGTTTTTCTCTTTCCCTGACTTTAAATATTCAGCCTCTTCCGGCATTAATCTGTGAGTCAGTATTGTAGACCTAAGAGGAAGATTTCTAGAATGGTAACCCAGTGCTCTTTAGAACTGGAGAATTTCATTTTCTTTTTCTGGATTTAGCGTTCATGTCTGGGAAAGGAGGCAAATGATAAGGTAATAAAAATGAATAAAGAAGATCTAGTTCCTAAAATGACTATACTCCACATTGTAACTGCACAATGTTTTGTTGTACAGCTCAAAAATGAGCAAGTGTTAGTATTAATAGGCATGCATTACATTCACAGCTTCACGCACAGATGGACAGTGCGTTTGGGTAGATGGAAGTCATCCCAATGCGGTGCTAGAACATTAGGCTTCTGTTGGTTCTGGTAGAAGAACCACAGAGACTCACACAGAACTCTGGTGAGACTCACACATACAACTCTGGTCTGGGCTGAGACCACCCCCAAAAAAATCATCTAGAGAACCAAAAAGGCTCATGTCTCAGTTGCATTCTACATAAAAGTTAAAGGGGCTATGTTTTCCACTCCAAAGAAGTGTCAGTAGAACTTTCCTCACCCAAATTATAACCCAGTAATCCTATCTTAAACTAAAAAGATTATCCCCAGAATGTAAAAGCTTACTCTTTGTTATTTCTTGAAACCCAAATGCTTAGCAGTCCTGCATTTCACATACAAACCTCAAAACTCTTTTTGTCCTGTATTCTGTGAGTTCCTTGATGATAGAAATTGGGTCTTATTCATCCCTCTGTATCCTGTGGCTCACACAGAATCTGGTAAATTGCATATATTCAATAAATGTTGAATATCTAATAACCTCATATAATTAATATGTTATATTAATTATATTATTAATTAATATGTTGTATTAATTATATTATTAATTAATATAACATATTATCAAAATTCTGTGTACATCAATGCCCCAGTCAGGTGTTATTTGGCTGGGAAATGCAAAGTGTTCACAAATAAGGTTATCCAATCAAATATCCCTGAGCAGTAAGGAGAAATATTTTAAACAGACTTGAGTTGTAAACAAATACTTTAGAGTCCAAAATGGAAAAGAAAATTAACTCTCTCTTTTTATCCCTAGTCCTGGAGACATGGATTTGTTCTAGATACTGGATTTGTTTGATACTAGTTACTGGATTTGTTGACCAATCTGGTAAAGTCAGAAACTTTACTGGCTTGGTCAACAAAGAGAAACTTTTGATTGTATAAAAGAGTAAAATTCATTGAAAGGATAATTCTTTTGAAACAGGCTTCTTGGTTGCTCGCTGTAGTTAAGAGAAGCATCTAGAGAACCTGGAGAGTTCATAAATGTAGTTTTCTGTACAAGTGAAGATCTGTAGTTTGGCTTACAAATCCTTGCATGTAGTTTTGCTTGGTGTGGAAAGTTATTAGGGAGAATCCTTTATCCTGTTCTGCAAGCAATCAAACACGTGCTGTCCCTTCCATCCATTCCTTGTCCAGTACCCAGGCATTTCCAGCCTCCTCCACGCAACACTTCAGACTTCCTTTGGGCATTGCTTAGAGCTATGTGATGGCCACAGTTTGGGCAAAGTCCTTCTTGGTAACAATATAAAAATTGTTACCAAGTTTGGTGCAGGCTTGAGGAATAATTACATTAAAATGGGCTTCCATGTTGGTTAATCAGCATGCTGATTTCTCTCGGCAGGAAGCTCTCAGGGAAATGTCTATGAATCATTTAAAGATGCTCTCTGGTGGATAGAGAAACCACAGTCCAAAACCAGATGGGTGTATATTTGCTTTGTAAGCAAAGGGCATGTATCATACTCGCATCTAAAACAGTGTCCACATCTTTGCCAAAGGCACTGAATTTTACCTTTTTTTATTACCTCGTGGCCAGCACTTCCTCAGTAGGCATTTCGGGTGTGTCACAAACCATTTTCATTTTAATTCTGAAAAAGTCAATCGTCTGTAGTCTGTACTATAAAATGATGCCTGCGACTTTGTGGTGAATATTATCCCCAAGTTAACAGTGAAATAAGTAAATAAAACTATTATTGAACAAAGAGTGTGGTTTGCTTTCATTCAATCCAGGGTCTATAACGCAGGAGCAGCTTCTTGTTGTATAAAAGGGTAGAATTCATTGAAAGGATAATTCTGAACAGCCTGCTATTTGCATTGATTTCTCTTTCTTTCTCACACGCAAAAGAACTTCCTTTAAAAACCCTCATGGTTCTCTCATGATCCAAATACTTCCTGATCATGTGTTTGTAGGAGTACAGGCCTGTGTAACCTACACCCACACACATAGCCCTCACTCCAAAAGTACATGTGAAGAAAAACACTTACCTGTACATACATATATGGAAGGGGAATTTTCTTTTAAGGAATGCTTATCTTTTTTTTTCCAGGTATATTTTTGTTTCTTTTAGACTCCACAGAAAATATTTTCTCACTGAAGGAAAAAACACAAGCCTCATATTTTAATACGCTGACTTTAAAATTGCTGGAAGTGAAGGTACTCTGGGCAAGAGATGATGTATTTTTGAATGGAATGCTTGAACACTTAATATTTTACAACCTGTATCATAGAAACCATCGCCTCTTTAGTCTTTAGTGCAAGAAAGAACAAGAAGAGTACGAGAGAGAGAAAAAAAAGAGAAAGAAAGCTACATTTACAGCTACATATATATAGAGAGAAAGAGATTACATCTATACGTATATATTGTATATGTGTGTGTATGTATATACATATATATATATACTTTCTCTCCCTCACAACTTTTTCTGGCAGTCATTACATCTTCATATCTTCATCCTCAGTTTGCAATTTGAACCTGTGCTCACTGAAACATCAGACATCCCCTCTCCTTCTCTGTTCTGCTATTTCATGCTGGAACTCTTAGCATTTAGATCAACGTACGTGTCCAGAAAAGAAACTGCTTTTCTAATACGAAAATTAGCTGGGTGTGGTGGCCCGTGCCTGTAGTCCCAGCTACTCAGGAGGCTGAGGCAGGAGAAGTGCTTGAATCCAGGAGGCAGAGACTGCAGTGAGCCGAGATTGCGCCACTGCACTCCAGCCTGGCGCCTGGTGACAGAACAAGACTCTGTCTCAAAAAAAAAAAAAACTGCTTTTCTCACTTCTCTATAAGAGTATGCATTTTTACATAAAACTCATATGAGATTGAAGAAGAAAAGTTTTCTGTTGTGTTAAATTCTTCTTTAATTTGCTGCACACATTCATGCAATATGAAATATTGACTATGGAAAGAAACACTGGCTGGAAGTATGGAAGATAAATAAACCATAAGGATATGTCAATATTGGAAATATCCACTAAGTATGAGTAGATTTTCAACCGGAAAGTACTGTGTTGGGGAGTTGATAAATAGCTTTTGGAAAAGCTTTGCCACTTCCTTATCCAAATGGTTACGTGAAGAAGAATTTTTATGAAATATGACCAACCAATCAATTGATTTAAATATTTACCCTAATTATTATTACTTTTTTTTTTTTTTTTTTTTTGAGACGGAGTTTCGCTCTTGTTACCCAGGCTGGAGTGCAATGGCGCAATCTCGGCTCACCGCAACCTCTGCCTCCTGGGTTCAGGCAATTCTCCTGCCTCAGCCTCGAGTAGCTGGGATTGCAGGCATGCACCACCAGGCCCAGCTAATTTTTTGTACTTTTTTTTTTAGTAGAGACGGGGTTTCACCATGTTGACCAGGGATGGTCTTGATCTCTCGACCTCGTGATCCACCCGTCTCGGCCTCCCAAAGTGCTTGGATTACAGGCTTACCCTAATTATTATTTTATTTGACTGAACTGAGATATTTCACCAGTGAAATAAATATTTCTCTCACAGGAATCATATATGTCTAATAAAAATTAATATTTTTTGAACTACATAGCATATTTTTAAAAGCATTAAAAATGAACATGACTTAAGCAATAAGCATGAATGATCTTTCATCAAAATTGAATCTCACCTAAAAAGGTTTGGAAGAGTAGAGAGAGAGAGAGCACTTTTTTGAAAAGGCGTCCTGTGGTCCAGAGCATTTAAAGGGTCATGAAGAGGATGCAGCGAGCTACGGCTTGGAATAGAAGTTCCTTGGTCTAATTGTGGTCATTCTTGGGCTTTTTTGCCCACCACCCCTTCACTTTCATTCTTGCTTCTGTTTCTTGGAGATGGCATGCGCATATTTCAGTAGAACTTGTCATTATCCGTGAGAATTAAACAACAGCATACAGGTTATGAAAAGGCGGAAGGAGCCTTCACAGTAACAGTCTGTAAAAGACTGGTCTTCATTTCAGCTATGTGGAGAGTAATGACAAGAATCACGTTGGAATGAGAGCCTCGGATTGTGGAGACGCTCGCTTTCTTTAGCACTGTGTTTCTAAAGAGACTATTTTAGCCATAGTTTATAAGAGTAGAATGACTAACTCAATCTTGCAACAAAAGGGAAAGAGAGTTGTCATTGAAGGCGATGCAGCTAGTGAGAGATGTTGCTGAGATTTCAACTCACATCTCCAACCCCCAAGCTTTTATTCTGCCTATTTTGACACCTATCATTTGCCAATTAACTATTGCGAAGTAGCTGAGAAATCGGAAATCTCTGCAGGAGAAAAGCCTTTAGATACAGAAAACATAATCCAGGGGCTAATCCGTAGGGCTAATTTATTTATTTATTTTGAGACAGCGTCTCACTCTGTTACAAAGGTTAGAGTGCAGTGGTGTGATCTCGGCTCACTGTAACCTCTACCTTCCAGGTTCAGGCAATTCTCCTGCCTCAGCCTCCTGAGTAGCTGGGATTACAGGCGCTCGCCCCCACGCCCGGCTAATTTTTTGTATTTTTAGTAGAGATGGGGTTTCACCACATGTTGGCCAGGCTGGATTTGAACTCTTGACCTCAAGTGATCCACCTGCCTCGACCTCCAAGTGCTAGGATTACAGGTGCGAGCCAGTGCACCCGGTCAGGGATAGACATTTTTATTAGGACCCAGAAGATGTCTTCTGATTCCCACATGCCTGTGAAAGACAGGCAAACCTGTGTAGACCAAAGATGAGTAAGATGAGCTCTGAACCCCTGGTAACACCCAAAACATGATGGGCTCATCAGCATGTAAACAAAGATTGATCCCAAAAAATGACGCTTGCATCAATTTTTAAGATCTTTTGATTGATACCTTAGGATTCCTTTGTAATTCTTTAAAAAATGATTGCATCACACTTCTCTTCTTGGAATTTCTCTTCATTCTAGACAATGCAGTGGGCTAGGATATTTACATGAAAATCCACTATCAATGCTCTAGACTCACTGAATGACATGTCTCTCGTCATAACATCCTGTGTATAATGTATGTATCTATCAGACTTCTTCCCTAATTCATATGACCAATTGCTTTTTCCCATTAAAAAAATGGGATGTTGATTTTTAAAAGTTTTTTATTTGTTTTATTTAGTGGAAACTATTTTTAATATCTATGTCAGCTGTGTATGTATTTGGCTTAATCTCAGCCCATGTTTTTGTCATGACGCTCACTAAACTTTCCTTATCTTAACTAACTTACCTTTCTGAATCAAACCATTCTCCTTCAAGCAATTAATTCATAAAGATGACAAAATTTGTGATTTGTCTTCTGATACAAATCAGGCCGAAAGTGGAGTGTGGTCCCGTCGCACACTCACGAGAGGGATGATTCCTTGACATTTAGTTTGATAGGGCCAATGGAATTTTGATAATATTCTAGCTTATTAAACCTCTGACCCATTTATGTGAGCAGATCTCTAAGTGTGACAACTCCTCTGTTCTGGCTTCTACAAAACAAAGTCCCTTTAAAACCTGACTGCAGCTGGGCACAGTGGCTCACGTCTGTAATCCCAGCACTTTGGGATGCCGAGGCGGGTGAATCACCTGAGATCAGGAGTACAAGACCAGCCTGGGCAACATGGTGAAACCCCATCACTACTAACAATACCAAAAATTAGCCAGAAGTAGTGGCAGGTGACTGTAATCCCAGCCACTCAGGAGGCTGAGATAGGAGACTCACTTGAGCCCGGGAGGCGGAGATTGCAGTGAGCTGAAATCGTGCTATTGCACTACAGCCTGGGCAACAAGAACCAAACTCCATCTCAAAACAAAAAAGAAAACCTGACTGCTATAAGTGGTTCCACCTGCAGGGTAGACAGCCTTAGAAGTGATTGACTACGTTATTGTGCTGCCTGGGTTAGCTTGAAATGGAAACAATCAATAGCAATTCAGACCAAAACACAGAAGAAAAAAACTAACAAAGACAACAAATGAAAAACCAATTACTACCCACCATGTGCAGTGAGTTCCTTCAGCTGTGACTTTTCAGGGGAGGACCTCCTCTAAAGTTAACTTCAAAACAATATAAAAAGGCCAATCCTTTGCCAGTAGGCCAGAGGTAAATATTTTCCCAGATACTATTGTGTAAAATCACCCCCACCCTTGCTGTAGAGCCAGTGCCATTATCTTTAGGTGTTGGAAGTTATAGAGGAAGTGGCGGGGTGGATAAAAGATGGCTCCCTGCACACCCCCCTCCTTACTCCACCAATCCACACCCCTTCCAGTTTCTAGTTCAGACCTGCTAGGGCAGAGCTACTGCAGGAGCCCAGATAGAAAACTTGGCAGAATTCGACTCCCTTTTTGATTGTGTGAGAAACAAACAGTGCATGTCTAATACAAGCTTTCTTTGCCACAATGGGAAAACTGAGTTAATAGTCTAACCTTTCTCTCTGCTCAACCTGTGGACAGAACCCCAAATCCCTAACATGTCCCTTAACCCAGAATTAAGGGTCACCTTCATATGTACATTCTTCGTTTGGTTTGTTTATTTGTTTGGAGATGGAGTCTAACTTGCTCTGCTGCCCAGGATGGAGTGCAGTGGCATGACCTCTGCTCACTGCAACTTCCGCCTCCCAGTTCAAGTGATTCTCCTGCCTCAGGCACCAGAGTAGCTGGGATTATAGGCATGTGCCACCATGCCTGGCTAATTTTGTATTTTTAGTAGAGACAGGGGTCTCACCATGTCGGCCACTTCAATA